TTCTTTAAGCTTCTTGTATCTTCATAGGGATGCCTTCTTTAGGTTGGGAAAGTTTTCTTTTATGATTTTATTGAATATATTTTTATGACTTTGAGCTGGATTATTTCTTCTTCTTCTTCTTCTTCTTCTTCTTCTTCTTCTTCTTCTTCTTCTTCTTCTTCTTCTTCTTCTTCTTCTTCTTTCTCTATTATTCTTAGGTTTAGGTTTTGTCTTTTCATGCTGTCCCAGATTTGCTAGATGTTCTGTGTTAAGAATTTGTTGGGATTTAATGTTTTCTTTGACCAATGAATCTATTTCCTCTATAGTATCTCCAACACCTGAGATTTTCTCTTCCATCTCTTGTATTCTGCCGGTTATGCTCGCCTCTATAGTTTCTATTCATTTATCAAGGTTTTCCATTTCCAAAATTCCTCTGGTTTGTATTTTCTTTGTTGTCTCTATTTCAGTCTTCAAGTCTTGAACTGTTTAAACTGTTTACTTCACCTGTTTGATTGTTTTTTTTTTCTTTTGGATTTTTATTTTTTTAGAAATTTATTGATTTCTTCCAATATTTGTTTGTCTTTTCCTCTATTTCTTTAAGGGAATTTTTCATTTTCTCTTTAAAGGTCCCCATCATCCTCATAAAGTTATTCAAAATTGTTTTCTTTTTCTGGGTTAGGATGATCAAGTCTTCCTGTTGTGTGACCACTGGGTTCTGGTGTCACCATGTTGCTTTTTAGATTGTTGAATGAATTCTTGCATTAGAGCCTTCCAGCCTCTTCCTCTAATTGGTGCAAGCAGTGGTCTTGCCTTTAGTCTAATCCTTGCAGTTGCTGTCTGTATCTTTGGGGAATGTTCTTGGTCTGCTCTGTACTGTTGCTGTTTTTGTCTCAGGGAGCTGCTGAAGTTTCCTTTGGCCTGTTCTCTTGGTCCACTCTCTTGTCCTTCTCTCGTTGTTTACTGTCTTGGTCCACTCTGTGCCATCATAGCTTGTGCTTCAGAGTCCCTCTCTTGGTCCTCTTTGTTTAGTTGCAGCCTGTGTTACAGAGTTCCTCTGAGGTCTCAGGGAATAGGAAGGTTTGGGGATGGAGTAGGTCTTGTAAGCCTACCTGAAGGAAGCTTACCTGCTGACTGGCTAGAGAAGCTGAGATAGGCAGAGTTTTTTCCCTGGTATAGAGGACCTAGAAAGTGGAGTGCCCCACTTGGTGAGTGGTCATTCACCTTTTGGTCATCTCTGTGTAGTTGCAGCCTGTGTTTCTATGGATTGATTTTTTACTCAGCGTGCAGCTTTTTTTTTCTCCCAGCATGCACAGAGGAGGATATCAGGTAACTAGGCAACCTGTGTAAACAGTCAGGGGGAAGTTAATGGCTCTTGATCTGATAGTACATTCACCAGACACTGCAATTTTTATGGGCCTACGTCTGGAGTTTATACTTATTGCTCTAAGTGGTAGAAACAAAGAGAAGACCCAGTCCTCTAAATTATCAGTTCCAGGGTATGCTGTTATCAGTTGTTCTGATTGTGGGGGTTGTGGGTCTTTCTCTGGGTTGTAGTTAATTGTCCCTTCTGTTGTCCTTGAGAGCAAAACACAAGCAGAAAGTTTCCTGAACTAAAATCACCAGTAAACTGAGGTGAAGGTGAGTGTAAGGAGTTAGGATTTTTTTAAAGTGAGGTAAAACCAGGGCAAGCTTCTTTTCTATCTGAGCAGCTATGAATCAGCAGCTTTGGGCAGGTTGTAATTCTATGTCATTGGACATCTGAGAAAATCTTAAATGGGATGCTCTTGCCTGGACCCTAAACACTGACCAAATGCCTGCTGAGTGCAATAATTGCAGGAAAGCAGATCTCTGTGTTTGCCTAGTAATATTTAGTAATATATTCATACTGGTAGTTCTGGTAGGAAACTATAAGCAATGGTATGGTCAACTTGACAAGATCTAGAATCACCTAGGACACAAATCTTCAGGCATACCTGTGAGGGTGTTTATGTTAGTTTAGTTTCTGAGCACAGCTCTGAAGGATCATCTCGATTAGGATGAACAAGGAAGACCACCTTAAAAAGGGCATCATCACCCTGTGGGCTTGTGCTCTGGACAAGATAAAAAGAAGGAAGCTAGTAAAATGTATTGAAACATTTATCTAATTATTCTTTATCAATAAAAAACCAGGAGTCAGGTGTTGGGGTAAGGATCTAAATGATAAGAGAAGTGGTAGAGAATACACTAGTTACCTCCTGTCTCTTCTCTTCCTCCATTTAAAAAGCCTGAGATCCTTTCTCAGCCCTGCCTCACTACTTCCTGTCTCCTATCTATCCTCAGTCCTCCAGAACTTCTATGGTTAATTTTGATCAGCTAGTGGTTAGCTCTGCCCTCTGACTCAAAGTAAACTTTATTGTCAGAATGAAATCAAAATATCACAAATAGTATACTAGTTACTTTCTGTTGCTGTGACAAAATAGTTTATTTGATTTATGGTTCCAGAGGTATAGTCCATAATGATGGGGCAGGTACGGCAGCAAAGACGCATAGCAGCAGGAAGCAGAGAGTGAATTGGAAGTGGGGTGAGGTTATAAACTTCTAAAACCTACCCTCAGTGATATACTTCCTCCAGCAAGAATCTACCTCCTAGAGGTTCCATATCATCCCCATATAGCATCAACTGGGGACCACGTATTCAGCTATACCAATCTATCGTGGGCATTTCTTGTTGAAATCACCACAGTCTGCTCTCTGAACTCCATGGGTTCATGGCCATATCATAATGTAAAATTTATTTAGCCTAACTTGAAAAGTCCCCTTAGTCATTCACAGTCTTGAAAACTATTTGAAAGTCTAAAGGACAAACTCAAGAAAATCTCTTTTCTATGACCCCCTATTTAAAAAATCAGATCAAGTCACATAGTTCTAACATAATGACCCATAATGTACATTCCTATTTCAAACGGGAGAAATGGGAGCATAGCAAAGAAACACTGGACCAAAGCGAGACCAGCATCCAGCAGGACAAACACCAAATCCTGTCCACGTCCAGTGTCTAGATATTTAATCTCAAAGGATATAGATTGGCTTTATGATTTTAGACTTGCCACCTGCAACACACATGTCTTTTAGTTTTAGTTTTGTTTAACTCCCTGCGTTCCGCCCTCCTCGGCAGATGTCTCACAGTCCTGGCACTGGCCACATCTTGGGGTTTCCACTGAAACCCAGGCTTTCTATTCACAGCTTTATGCAAAGGACTCTGAAGGCCTCCTGTTCTCTAAGAAACTTCCTGCGGTGACTCCAGAACTGACACACATTGCTGGCCCCACTGGCTCTCTGAAACCACAGAGGAAGAATCTATGAGCCCCTCACTCTTGCTTTTTAAATGTTTCCAAAGCCAGCTCTGTGTGTATGATATTGCCAAATTCGGCTGTGCCAGCTTGGGATGTACCCTGGCCATACTTTGACTACAGCAGCTTTTTATGTTGAAACAAGTGCTGTTTCTCTTAGTCCTTCTCCTTTCACAGGCTGGAAGCTTGGCTGGTGGGGTCTTGCTCTTCAGCTCATTTCCCATGTTCAAAGAAGAGCAAGAAGAGGTTCTTCAATGGCTCCAATCTCCTTAACAATTATAGCCTTTCTTTAAACACATGCTTTGGTTGCAAAGCATCCTAGTGATCTTTTATTTTTTTTTCTCTGCAAACTTTACATTTTGCATCTCTTTCTGCTCTACTTGCTCTTTTTCACTGTAGACCTGCATAAGAGTTTTCAGTAATAAAAACCACATGGCAGACTCAATATTCTGTTTTGCAACATTCTTTGCTAAAGAAATTAGTCTATTGCTTGTTAATTTAAGCAGTGGTTCTCAACCTTCCTAATTCTGCAGTCTTTTATTACAGTTATTCATGTTGTGGTAAGCATAAGAATATTTTTGTTGATATTTCATAACTGTAATTTTGCTACTGTTATGAATCAAATGTAAATATTTGATGGTCTTAGATGACCCCAATGAAAAGATCATTTGAATTTCAAAGGGGCCATGACCCATTTGTTGAGAGCCAGTGATTTAGTCTCATGCAAATTCTCAGGATATGGTCAGAAAACAGCCATATTCTTTGTCAAAATTTCATTTCAGAGGTCTGTAGCTCAGCTGCTAATATTGTTCCCCTCCGAAACCTCGTGAGTTGGGTCTCCAGCCATCTGCACTATTCTCAGCACTGCTGTCTTCCAGACTCCTGTTAGGACAGCCTGGTACGAGCTCTGTTTACAGCAGTAGTAGCTTTTGTAGTCCAGAGCTCCAAAGTCTTTAACATTCCTCCAAAGAACAACATGGTCAGATTCCTTACGGCAACAACCTACGCTCTGGTGTCTTCTGTACTCGTTACTTTTCTGTTGTTGTTATAAAAATATCATGACAAAAGAAACTTATAGAAGTTTACCTGAGCTTACAGATCCAGAGGAGAATGCATAGTGGTAGAGGAGGCATGACAGCAGAGAGCTGGAGCAGGAAGCGGAGAGACAGTATCTTTAACCGCAAGCAAAAATCAGAGTGTGCCAACTGGAAGAAGGGTGAGGCTGCGAGTTCTCAAAGCCCCAAAATCAGAGTGTGCCAACTGGAAGAAGGGTGAGGCTGTGAGTTCTCAAAGCCCTTCCACCTTCTGAACAGTACCACTGACTGGGTATCAAGTGTTCAAATACTTAAGCCCATGGGGAACATTTCTCTGTCAAAACACCATAGACCACAATCTAAATGAGTCTTCACTTCCTGATCTGTGTCTCTGATGGACACCCTACCTTCAGCGTTCTGAATCTATCTATACTTCCTTGCTTAATATACGTTACTGCAGAAGTCACTTGAATTTCTTTTAGATGTCCTGGGTTCACATTTCTCACAACTTTTATAGCTGACCCTGCTTCTTTGATGTTTGTATTTGTCACTAGACAGAAACAATAACTATTGATCTAGTTCCCCGCAGGTGCCCAGTATACCCACAGTGTTCATCATTTTGTGACAACTGAACAGTTCATTCATGTTGTTGTTGAAGGGTGTGAGAACCACTATGAAGGAGGAGCTGGAGGCCTCACAGACAAAATCTTCTCTGTGGGACTTGTTCCGTACACCCATCCTACGCAAGCGAATGTGTCTCCTGTCCTTTGTGAGGTAGGCTTTACGTAGTGCCTATTAAACTAGTTTGAAGGTAAATTTCTCACTGATCTATTTGGAGATAAAGATGAGGGATTTCTGGAGCTGGAGGCAGTCAAAGCATTTTGAACAGGAACATGGACTAGTTGTGCAGTGAGGAGTGTGTTCATCCAACCACCTATTGAATTTAGCACTAGAGACTGATGCTGAGAACTTTAGTCATGGTACAAACTTGGTCCCTAAGTATGTTGGTTTGTCTGTTTTAATTTCAAAATAGATAAAAATCTCAAAATTAAGGTGCATACATGTAAACATCTCAGTGAATACATACAGTTATATAACCCTCAGCCAGCTCAAGATACAATGAAAATTCTAAAACTTTGGAAGGACTCATTATGTATCCCACAAACTCTACTATACCTATCAGCATACAATGATTTTATTATGAGTATAAAATTATATTTATTTGCAGTAAATATTCCAGAGAACAAATTATAAGCATGCACAGAAAAACTAACAAGCACAGCCATTCTCTGTGGAGAGAAAGAATAGGTGGTAGGCAGGAGAGCTTAAGCTGACAGGAGTATTTATCGGATGGACGAGGGATCTAGAGCAGGTTTGAGCTGTGGCAGATGGAGCCAGTCATGATTCCCTGAAACTTACATGAGTGTTGATGAGAAGAGGGCATCAGTACCACTGCCTGTTTTCATCTGCACTGGAATCCTTGCTGTAGGGAAAAGGGTGTATACGTGTCTGCAAACAGCTTAAGCAGGTGTGCGCCTTTGAGTCATAGCAAAAATAAAGCCTGAAAAATTACCAACAGAAAAATGAATGTTCATCTATAATAAGACAAAATCTTCCTGGCAGAAAAGAGAACAAAGAGGAGAGAGAGCTTGAGGGCCTAGAAGATGGTTCTAGGACAGAAACATGGACACGCTTTCTTCTGAACTATTTTCCTCACATCGCCGCATGAAAGGGACTGGGTAGACATGGGTTGGACAGAGTTGTCTCCAGCACAAGGAGAAGCACTTTTTAAAAGTCAATTAAATTTTTTAAAATTTATTTTACATCTTGACCACAGCTTCCCATCTCCCTCCTCACAGTCCCTCCATCCACTTCCCCTCTAACCCCCTCCCCAACTCTTCCACCTCTGTTCAGAAAGGGGCAGATCTCGCATAGGTGCCAACAAAGCATGGCATTATCAAGTTGAAGTAGGACTAAGCTTTTTTTTTTTTTTTTTGTATTAAGGCTGGAAAAGGCAACCCAGAACAGGTTCCCAAAAGCCAGCTGAAGCATTGAGAATGGCCCCACTCCCACTGCTAGGAGTTCCACAGGTAGATCAAGCCATGCAACCATCACACATGTGCAGAGTGCCTAGGCTGGTCCTATGCACGCTCCCTAGCTGTTGGTCCATAGTCTGTGAGCTCCTAAGAGCAGGTCAGTTGCTTCTGTGGGTTCCCTTGTGATGAGCTTGACCCACTTGTCTCATACAATCCTTCATCCCTCTCCAAACAGGATTCCCCAGGTTTGGCTCAGGGCTTGTATCTGTTTCCATCAGTTACGGGATAAAGGCTCTCCAATGGGGTTTGGGGTAGTTACCAGTCTGATTAAAGGAGATGGCTAGTTCAGGCCACCTATCCACTGTGGCTAGGAGTCTATGCTGGGCTCATCTTTATAGATTCATATGAGTTTCTTTTGCATCAGGTTCCTACCTGACCCCAAAATGCCCCCTTATCAGGTCATCTCTTTCATTACTCTCCCCCTCATCCATCCCTCATCCCAATCCTTTTAAGCTCTATATTTAGAAAAGAAAACATTTTAATTATCTTGAAAAAAGGCTTTAGTTGCCAGTGCTTTCAACTGTTACCAAGACTAAATTGATATATCTTATCAGAACTCAATTGAGTAATACATTAAACATTGGATTTTCAAATTTTGGATTTTCAAGTGTCATATGTATTATTTTAAGTCTTATTTTCACATACCTTAAACCACCTTTTTAAACTATTATAACTTACATAGACATTTATTCATTTGCTATGATTCCATAGGTGCTTGATTATTGAGATTAGTCACTGAAAAGGCAAGTATTTTTAAATCATCACTGGAGCATAAAGAAATAGTAAAAAAAAATTCAGCCAGTACCTATAAAAGTATCAGGAATATGAGGTTCTTTTAAAAATGAGGCACATCTTTTATAAAATGTACTTCTATAAAATATCACAGTTTCTCGTATGACTCAATTTATCCAAATAAACTGGGCAGTGGTGGTGCACACCTTTAATCCCAGTACTCAGGAGGCACAGGCAGGCAGATCTCTGTGAGTTCAAGACCAGCCTGGTCTACAGAGTGAGTTACAGGGCAGCTAGGGCCACACAGTGAAACCCTGTTTTTGAAACAAAGCAAAACAAAAACTATTCAAATAGTTAAAGTCTAATACACTAACACATAAGTTGCTAGACACATATCTTTAAGTTATAAGTGGTTAGGCAAATATCTTTAAATTAGTTCCTGTTAACCTGAGTAGATCTTTATAACCTTAAGGAAATTATAATTCTTAATTATCAAACATATGTTATTAGTAAATCTTATTTCATATAAGCAAGAATTTTAATCCAAGTTACATATATGGTATGCTGTATAGATATTTTAGTTATCAACTAAGTTATAAAATTCAAATTAGCTTTTTTGTTACAGATTTTTTTTTGAACCACACCCAATGAACTTACAAATCCTGAGATAAAGACAGTTTAAATTTTAGCAAAAGTTTCAAAGATAGTAAATAAGATCAAGGGAAAAAAGTTGGGGGAAAAATTCAGAAAGTTAAACATCCATAACTATAATTCATCATTTGTAACCTCTATTGGAGATAGTTTGTCTCTTAGCTTTTCTCAAGCACGTAGTGTCTTTTTCCTGGGCTGTTCTGTTTTGCTCTTTCTTTTTTCTGTTACATTCTCAGGTGGCCAGCCTGATACAGAACAGAGGCATTGGAAGAAACTTTTAAACAAACATGCTTGGGTCTAGAGCAAATTTCAACTTCAAAGTCAGCTTATTAGTAGGGTAGAACAAATGTGACAATATTTCAATATCATCCAACCTAAAAGACATTTGAGTCCCTGTAAGGCTGAATCCAGTGTTCAGAGGGAGGTGCAACTAAAGAGAGCACAGACAATGGCTTGGAGAGAAGGGATTTTCTTTTCTTTTTCTTTTTTTCTTTTTTTAAAGGGATTTTCTAGAGTGGAGAATAACAAAGGCATTTAGTCATTTGCTCCGGTGGTGGCAGAACTTGCTACAATCTGTGAATTTGGAAGCTTGATGCACTATCTTTCTGGCCATGGAGACAGATTTTCTAGTTTTTAGTAAAAATAAGGTAGTAAGGCCTAATGAAATTTGAAGTCTGAAGAGGGAAGGAGATTTGAGAAAGATTGCAGGAGGAGTGGCGGCATCTCGCCGAGAGTGGGAGGATTCTATGGTTGATGAGATGATGGAGAGAGGAGAAAGGGATGGCAGAAAAGGAATTCTACCATCAAGAGCTAAAAGTAGATAGAAAATGGTTAGGAAAAGTCTTTTCTTCCAAGTCCAGATACTGGCAACTGTAACCAGAAGATCTGTTAGAAGGAGACCAATGATATAAACAAGTACAAAGATTTAAGGATTACAGTTCATAAGGATGCAGAAGAAGGGAACAGTGGGGGTAGGGTGTGGCTAAGTCAGTCTGGATGGAAGCTCAATCCAGAGGTTGTCCCTTAGTGAATTGGAGTTTTCAAGTGAATTTGCAGATTTTGAGAGATGGTTGTCCCCATCCAAGTGAAAGGTTCTAGGGGCGGGGGGTTTGAGAGACTGCCTGGTGTACAGCAAGATGTAACAGGCTTCAGTGATTGTGATAGAAAATTTGAAGCTGTCTGAGAGAAGGGCACTTGCTCAAGTTTGTGAGAAGTAGGTAGGAATTCAAGAGAAATGAGGACAGAGACGCTAGTCAAATATGATGCATGACACGGGCAAATGGTCTGTACCATGGAAGAGCCCAGTGGCAGGGTTTGGTTTGGCTAAAGGAGGGACTGGTTCCCCAAAGATGGGTACAGGAGTCTTTTTTGGATTTTGACACCAAATGTAAGCAAGCACAATGAGAAACAACCAAACACAGTCGTTTTTGGTAGATAGAAAGAACCATTTAATTTAAAAAAAAAGTGTCAAACCTCCTCAGACTCTTGAGGACAGCAGTAGCTGCAGAAGCTTGTTGGGTTTTATGTGGGTGCATGGAAAAGGATGCTGCTCAGAAGATGGAACAGCCAGGTGGTTAAAATGGGAACTGTCAGACAGATGAGATGCTAACAGCTACAGTTAGGAGCATTCAGTCAGACTTTAAGGGCTTCTGAGAAATGCTTTAGGTTTCTGTTTTCTAGCAAAACCCAGCTCAGGTGGAAGCTGAACCACTGCCATCGTCACTGACACTTTGGGGACCTAATAAAGCTGTCCCTTTATATTTTAACAACTAAAGCTGACATCAACTTTGCTTTGACATACATTCCAAAGTCATGATGCAACTTTCTTTGTTATTTACAGATTTTTGACATGGATATCTGTGCTTGGCCTGCTGGTCAACCTCCAGCACCTAAGGACTAATGTCTTCCTACTGCAGTGTCTTTTGGGCATAGTCAGCATTCCAGCCAATTTACTTGGAATGGTTTTGCTGAATCACATGGGCCGTAGAATAAGTCAACTGTTAATCTTATCCCTGTTTGGAGTTTCCATTTTGGCCACAGAATTTGTGCCTCAAGGTGAGGAAAGAACACAGGGTGAGCAAAGAAATTATCTCCTCCTGTTTCCTTAGGACTTTTAGGCCCACCTATGAAATCAGAACAAAATACAGTCTAAGGATTTATTGTGACCAATCTGGGCATTTAGGGCATACTATTCCTTTAAGATTCCCAGAGAAGAGCCAATAGTCAGTCATGTTTGGTTTTAGTAGATGAATGTTTATTATTCTCAAGTTATATGTGGAAACTGGTGCCAATCATTTCCAAGTTCTGTTAGTTCATGTAGGACCTTATATCCTGATTGAAAATGACCACGGTATACTGTTTCCTCATCTGTCTAGCTCTGCCTCGTTACTTCAGCCTTAGTAACAATTTATTTTCTGAACTCTGTGCAGTTAGAACTTACAAGCCTAATAATATGAGACCACAAGTGCCACCTCATTTGGAAATTCTATCAAGAAAATAAACATCACTTGTATTGAAGTACATGAAAGTATGAAGGAACTAAACATCAAGACTGTTAGAACTGACTCTACTGAATGAAATGGACTTATAACAAGGGCTGCACAGTGCTATAACTCTCAAATTTAGCAATGCTGTCTTTTTTTGCTCACTTTTTTTGAATATTATGTGACACTGACCTGAGTAGAAAATGACTTTCTGAAACTTTCCTTGAGTGATTTCCAAAGTCTGATATGTTTCCTAGCAGCAGTCCTTATTCTTGAGTCTTGAGACATTATTTTATACATATACATACACACACACACACACACACATATTTGAAATAACCAAACCAATCTCCAGCTTGCATACTACTGTAGGACTTCTGTCTTTTCATGACATGATTCTACAGTATTGCACATCAATTGTGGACTTAAATTTTCCGGGACTCTGAATGAGTGTGTCGGCCTTAGCCATTTCTCCATGTTGTTCCTACATTCTGCATGAGCACTTGCTGAGAAACTGGGTAGAGAAGATGAAAGTGAGCTCCTTTGGAACTCACCCAGTTTTCTACTTCTTGAGCAAATATCAAGAGATTTAAGGTATATGAATCCAGTTCTTGGAGGCTTTAACTCTCCATAAACTAATATATGTAGTAGGTAAGTCACCCTTTTTTTTGTTTTTGTTTTTTATTATTATTTATTTATTTATTAAAGATTTCTGTCTCCTCCCCGTCACTGCCTCCCATTTCCCTCCCCCTCCTCCAATCAACTTCCCCTCTCTCCTCAGCCTGAAGAGCAGTCAGGGTTCCCTGCCCTGTGGGAAGTCCAAGGACCTCCCACCTCCTTCCAGGTCTAGTAAGGAAGCCACCCTTTTTTAATTATTAGGTACTGAGGGAATTCTGCCTCTGAACACTTTCTCTACACCATTTTACATTCTCAGTAAAGATGTTTTCCATTTGAGATCTGGGAAATGCAAATCTCCAGAGCTCCGATTTCATGATGGTTCTTGCTGTTCTTCTCTCTAGAAATGCAGATCGCACGTTTGGTTTTGGCAACTTTGGGAGGCACGTTTTCTTTTGTGGCTGCTGGCAGTACTCTTGTGCATGCAAATGAGCTACTCCCCACCACAATCAGGTACAAGACTCAAGGTTCACTGTCAGGGTTACAACAAACTTTTCTTAGCTCATCCACTCTTAAATATTTTTGAAATTTACCTTGAATTAATTAAATTTAATTAATTAATTGACTGTGTGTGCATGTGTGTGTACAATAGGTGTTTATGTAGGTATGTGCTTGCTACCATCTGTCCGTAGAGATCAGAAGATAACTTTTAGGAACTGATTCACTTTTGGTCTCAGGGATTGAAATAAAGTCATCAGGCTTTATTGAAGGCTTTTGAGGTCCAACCTTAAAAGTCTTTGCTCAGGGTTCAAGAGACACTACAATAAGCAAAGGAACTAGTATCTAAGGGCTCAAGCAAACAATTTGCTCACCACATGTAGTAGATGAGTCATGTACCCTTTATTGTTCACTCTTTATTCTTCTGCCTCTATTCTAATTCTTCTGTCCTAATTGTCTATAATCTTTCTGTTCTAATTCTCGGTCTCAATTCTAATTCCAATTCTCAGTTACATTCTTTTCTCCTTCTCCTCTTTCTTCTCTTCTCCCATTCTTATTTCTCTACATTCCTTATTCTTTCACAGTTTTGCAAATTTCTGCCAGCTTCTACTCCAGCTTCTGTTTCAGAATCTGCTAACTCTCTTTGTTCTACCTAGCTTATATAAGACCCACAAAATCTTGAAGGCATCCATCTGCTTCTTCAGTAAATGATAAGAAACAGAGTCATCCCAGCAACTCATAGTGCAATAGATCCAGATGGGAAGAAAAGAGCACTTTCAGTTTACTCCCTAACTAGTGGGCTGCAAACATGGCTGTAAAGGGAGAAGTCTTTTTTTGCTATCATATCTGTAGAGGTAGGCTTATAGAACTAAACTAATAAGAGACATAAGGAAACGGTGTGTTTTAACCTATACTTTAGAGTATAAAATACATCTTAAAAACATTTTGTGATTAGTGGTCATAAGGCCAGGTTTTCTTGGAAGGGGGAATGGTTTGTTTACAAATGGGTCTTCAGAGAGAATGCAGCAGCTTAATCTGCAGGAGCAAGGGGCAGAGGAGCCCATTCGTCACTTGCCAAAGCACAATGACATTAAAAACATTTTGAATCTTAAGATATATTTTTCTGTCCAGTATGTGTCCCTAGACCATAGAAAGGCAGACTTGTAACTCTATTTTGGGGCTATGAAGTTTTCATTTTGTAGCTAGCCCTGGCCAGTCGGAGACTCCTGTCCCGTGGTATCTGAACAAAGATCATAAAACTGAGGTTAGGAATCCATGCAGAGAGTTAATTATTGGTCCTGGTACTGCAGTTAGGTTACTTGGCACTGTTTACCTTGACTCAGCAAATCATACAGATGTCTACATGTCCTAGTAAATAAGAGTGTACTCTTTTGATAATAGTTTATCTTAAAATCCAATTAGCAAAACGCCTGGAATGATCTAAAAGCCACTTTAAAGTTTTATATCAGTTGATAGTATATGGTTATCTTGGCTGCTGGGGAAATTGCAGCTGTTTTATTAAGCTGTGCTCTAGGACAGCTTTTAATGGAAACTGAAAACTCCTGAGCTGGGCAGCATCTCTTTGTATTTGTTTTATTTATCAGAAGTCTGTGTAGGCTAACATTATCCATACCAATTAGACAACACAGCTAAGGAAGAGCTGTCTTCTTGACAATCCACAGATAAAAATGCACAGTAGATCAGGAATGTATTTATGAGACACACATGTATACAGGTTATGGAAAGAATGTAATTAGCACACAGAAAATTACAGGCAGAAGCAACAGATATTCTGGAGTCTGTATTTCTGGCAGGCCTTGTGAGGCAAGTTTCCTCCATCAGACATTAACTTTGGTGAGTGTCACAGAGTCATGTTGTTGGCTTTCTAGTTCATTCAGTCTCATTGACAAGATCGTTATCTTAAGTAATTGATTGTGACAATAACAACAAAGTATGTCCAAAGTTTCCTCAAGTCACTTTTTTTTTTTTTGCTAGTTACTGCTAAATCTACTAATGTATGACTAATTAAATCTAAAATAGTATTTGGAACCCAGAAAAGGCAACTATATCTACTTTAATTTTTCTTTTTACTTTTAAAAAATCAGTTTTAAAAAGCAGGCGTGAAGAATAATAGGCTTATTATACACTTTCACATCCACCCTGTTTTGGCTACTCTGCTCCTTTTGTCCCTCAAATCCCCTTCTGCTAGTTACTTCCATCCCTGCCATCACTGCCCTCCTCCTTCTGTGTCACGTGTGTGCCACTGACCTCTTTCTCACTTAAGATAGTTTCCTTTCCCCTCATTGTCCTCACTCTAGTTTCTTAGCTTTTACCCTATGCTTCTGCCCCATGCACACATATACACAAAAGCTAACGTCTAGGATCAGCATAGTAGAGAAAACACGGGGTATTTATTTCTCTGTGTATGGTTTTATAAGTGATAAGTGGGTGTTTTAATATTATGATCTTGACACTATCAAGTGAAACAGAAATGGGAAAAACAAGATTAAAGTTATCAACATTTTTTATGCCAAAATACACTACTGATTTTCATAAGCAATGTAAGATTCTAAATCACAGATTTCAGATGTGCATCCTCATGTAGTTATTTCTGCATTCTGTTTTGTGCTCAAGGGCAACTGCTTTAGGAATCATTGGAATTTTTGGAAGTATTGGGTCAGCCCTGTCTCCTCTGTGTATGATCCTCAAGACATACTTTGCCTACCTACCATGGATCATCTATGGAGTCTCTCCCATCCTCAGTGGCCTTGTTGTCCTTCTTCTTCCTGAGACCAAGAATAAGCCTTTGCCTGACTCCATCCAAGATATAGAAAAGGAGTGAGTAGAACCCTGCTGTGAAACAACCTTGTCTCCCAAATCACTTGTTCCAGGCAGGCTGGTAACTAGGTAGATTCTTTTTCTGTTTACACATGGAAATTGTGTTTGGTATAGGAACCCTTTGCATATCCATTCATACAATGGTTTCATATGTGTCTCGAAAGTCACTGGATAGCAAAGACCAGTTCTATCTAGACTGTTTTGGGAGATTCGGATCTAAATAGGACAAGAGTATGTGTCTTTTGCCCTCTCTGACCTTGTATGAAACATATATCCTTGATGATATTTCACAAGCATGCTCAAATACAAATATCATTTCATTTCTCATATCTAGAAAGTGCTGGAAGCTCTCTAAAACTGACAGTATCTGTATGCTTGAGTGTGCAATGGTCACTAAATCATTTGAAGGAAATTACACATCGGTCTAAAGGACCTGCCACAGATGACATATTTTAGAGAGAACTCTTGTTTTTCCATGAAATTCAGATTATGTGTTTCATTAGGAATGAAAAAGTTCGTCAGTGAGAAGAAGGGACTGGTTTATAAAGGGAACATAGAATGTGAAAAAATGGGCAAGATTTCAAATCTGTTAGTGCGTTTCCATTACTTTCCCCCAACTAAACCTCCTTGGCGAATTCCATAATAAGCAAGGTAGAAAGTGTCCTCGTTTGCCCCTCTGTGACTGTGATAAAACACTGACTAAATGCAGTTTAAGGAAAAAAGGATTTATTTTAGTCTATAAGTTAGTGTCCATCACTGAGGGAAGCCAAGACAGGAGCTTGAAGAAGAAACTAACTAAGGAATGTTACTTACTAGTTTGCTTCCTCTGGCTTGCTCAGATGCCTTTCATATAGAGTGCAGGTTATCTGTGTAAGGATGGTACCACCCACAGTGGGCTGGGCCCTCTTATATTAATTAGCAATCAAGAAAATGCTCCAAGGGCATGCCACAGGCTAATCTGGTGATGAGTCAATTCCTCATCCAAAGTTCTTTCTTCTCAGGTATGTCAAGTTGACAACCAAAACTGGAGAGGTTGCCAGGGTGGTTGACCTTTTATGCACAAGGTGTATTTAAGTCAATTGTCAGAAATAATGGATGTTTTAAGGAGAAGTTGGGTGAAGGATGAGTTTGCTCTAAATAGTGCAGGGGATGTCAGTTTTCTGTCTCCTCTCAGTTTCACTGTTATATGATTTGATGTTCGCTGTGTATGTTACAGAAGGAGAATCTCCAGACAAGCAAAGCACAAAGATGCTTTCATCAAAGTGACACAGTTTTAAGGAACTGGAATCTGAACAAGAAGCAAGATAAGAAAACTATCACTCAGATTTATGATGATCCAGGATCACTCTGAATATAGCAAACATTTTCAGCAAATAGCAATATAGTGGAAAATTTGTATAAAATTTAAAATTGCCATTTTCAATCGATACATATATTATCCAATAACAAAATTAAAGAAACTATAACACAGTGAAATAAACCTTCAGAGATATATTTATTTTTATGTATTTTTAAAATTAAATTTATTTTTTAAAAACAATATTTTCTCATTTTACATACCTCTTTCAGTTCCCACTCCCTCCTCTCTTTCTGCTCCCCTGTCCTTCTGCCCACCCCAGCTCCCTATCCATTCCTCAGAGAGAGTAATGCTTCCCAAGTGGAGTCAAGTCTGACATATCACTTTGAGGCAGGACCAAGATCCTCCCCTCTATATCTAAGCTGAGCAAGGTATCTCTCCAAAAAGAATGGCTTCCAAAATGCAAGTTCAAGCACTAGGGATAAATCCTGGTCCCACTACCAGTGGTCTCACAGACTTCCCAAGCCACACAACTGTCTTCCACATTCAGTGGGCCTAGTTTGGTCCTGTGTAGGTTTCCCCATTATCAGTCCAGAGTCAGTGGGCTCTCACTAGCTCAGGTCAGCTGTTTCTGTGGGTATCCTCATTATGGACATGACATTTTTTGCTCATATTATTGCTTTAACCTCTCTTGGACTGGTCTTCAGAAGCTCAGTCTATTGCTTAGCTGTGGATCTCTGCATCTGCTTCTATCAGTGGCTGGATGAAGGTTCTATGATGACAATTAAGGTAGTCACCAATCTGATAACAGGGGAAGGCCAGTTCAGGTTCCTTCTCCACTATTCTTTATGGCCTTACAAAAGGAAAATTAAGACTTTGTCATTAGGAATAGACCCAGCAGAAATTATAGTAATCTTTTAATAATGATGAAATTAACAAATTATGGGAAGACAATGAACCCTTGCAAAGCATACTATTTTTTTTGGGAGAGATTAATACAACTATCCCCAAAGAAAGAGAATTTGACTTATAAAGAAAGCTAATTGGATCCTTCCTGATATTATACAGGACACACCAATATTGACAGAGGTTTCTGTCCCACCTAGTCTCTCAGGCATCAGTCCCAAAGAAACACACAGAGGCCTACTAATAATTATAAACTTGTTGGTCTATTAGTTCAGGCTTTCTTATTAACTAACTCATATCTTATATTAACCCATAATTCTTGTCTGTGTTAGTCATGTGGCTTGGTACCTTTATCAATGGGGCATTCTCATATTGCCTCCTCTGCATCTCGGTGATGACTGCAGACCGGACCTTTCCTTTTCCCAGAATTCTCCTATTCTGGTTGCCCTGCCTATACTTCCTGCCTGGCTACTGACCAATCAGCATTTTATTAAATCAATACAAGTGACAAATCTTTACAGGATACAAGACCATTGTCCCACAGCACACCAATAACTGGAGCTTCTACATTCTATATTGATGAAAATAAATCAGGAAAGGCAGGTTATAAATTAGAAGGTTTAAGTAAAGTGTAACAAGACCTTATGATTCTCTCCAAAAGTCAGAATTATATGCTATTCTCATGGTACTAAGGAATCTCAACATAGATACTGATTTGCAATATTCAGAATGAGTTGTTTTACATATTTAAACTGCTGAACTTATACAGGATGATACAGAATTGACTTTATTATTTACTCAAGTTCAAGATATATTGAGGTATAGGCTTCATCCCATGTACATAACACACATTCAATTCCATACAGGTCTGCCAACTCCTCTAGCACAAGGTAATGCAGAAATTGATCATTTATTGCCTGGAAATGTACTAAAGGCCTTAGAATTTCACAGAAAACATTATGTCAACAGTAAAGGTTAAAAAAAAGTTCCCATTACATGGCAACAAGCCAAGAAGATTACAAGGAGATTCCCTACTTTTTTTATATATATATAGCTAAACACCACTATCTACATGAAGTAACCCACAGGGTACTCAAAGGAATGAAATCTGGCAGATGGATGTGTTCCATTCTGTAGAAGTTGAGAAATTAAAATATGTACACCACACCATTGATACCTATTCAGGTTTTCAACAGACAACTACTTTGAGTTTGGAAAAGGCTGATTTGGCAATCCCACATTTTCTAGAAGTTATGGCCATCATAGGTATACCTGCACAAATAAAGACAGACAATGCTCCAGCATATGTCTCTTAGAAAATGAAACAGTTTTTCTTTTTTGTAAAATTATTTATTTACTTATTTGTTGACTAAGGTTTCTATCCTGCCCAGTCCCACAGTTAGTCCCAAAGAAATACACAGATGTCTACATTAATAATAAACTGATTGGCCTATTAGATCAGGCTTCTTATTAACTCTTTCTTACGTCTTATATTAGCTCATTATTCCTGCCTGTGTTAGCCACGTGGCTTGGTACCTTTCATCAGCGAGGCATTCTCATCTTGCTTCCTCTCTCTTTGGATGATGACTATCGACTGTGTCTTTCCTCTTCCCAGAATTATCCTGTTTCATTGCTCTGCCTCTACTTCTTGCCTGGTCACCCCACCTATACATCCTTCCTGGCTACTAGCCAGTCAGCATTTTATTAAAAATGATACAAGTGACAGGATAAAAGACCATTGTCCTACAACACTCCCCCCTTTATTTATTTATTTATAAATATTTATTTATTTATTATTCTGTCTGTGTGTATGCCTGAAGGCCAGAAGAGGGCAGCAGACCTCATTACAGATGGTTGTGAGCCACCATGCGGTTGCTGGGAATTGAACTCAGGACCTTTGGAAGAGCAGGCAATGCTCTTGACTGCTGAGCCATCTCTCCAGCCCCACTCCCCCCCTTTTTTAAAACAAGAAATCTGAATCTGCTATGCTTTGTTTAGCTTTTCTCTTGACCACTATCCATAACAACTTGTAACCAACATTCTAAACAAAGGCAAACATCCATAATCCATTTTTTTTTGGGGAATGTGGGCATAGTTTTCTAGGCAGCTTTCTGTCAGGGATGGTGATGCCTCTGGAAGTTCCTTTATTGTACAGGATTGTTTTGGCTATTCTGTTTTTTTTCCCAATGCTCCAGCATATGTCTACAAGAAATGAAAGCTTTTTCTTATTATAATATAAAGCATATTACAGGCATATACACAATCTTATATGTCAGGCAGTTACAGAAAGATCAAATTAAATTATAAAGGATATGTTAAACAAAAAGGGATCAAAAAGACCCCCAGAAATAGATTGCATAATGCTTTATTAACCTTAAGTTTTCTTGTTGCTAATATGAAAGAAACAATGGCTACAGAGAGACAATGGATAATACCAAAAGCTTCTGAATTAAATCAGCCAGTATATTTCTCTTTATTCTTTTTCTTTTATTTTTTAAAAGAAAACAAACCTTTAATAGATAAATAAATAAATTAAAAAAGAAAACAAACTATCTTTTTTTTTATTTTGCATACCAACTCCAGTTCCCACTACCTCCCCTCTACCTTCTCCCCCAGCCCACCCCCATCTTCTCCTCAGAGAGGGTAATACACATTGCTGTGGGGAGGATCCAAGGCCCTCCCTACTATGCTGGGAAAGGTTTCAATACAAAGAGAATGGGTTCACAAAAAGCCAGTACATGCAGTAGGGGAAAATCCTGGTGCCACTGTCAGTGGCCCCTCAGTCTGCCCCAGCCATGCAACTGTCAACCCCAGTCAGAGGAACTAGTTGGGTCCTATGCTTGTTCCTTCCAAGTCTGGCTGGAGTTGGTGAGCTCCCATTAGCTCGGGTAAACTACATCAGTGGGTGTCCCCATCATGGTCTTGACCTCTTTGCTCATATTTTCACTCTTCCCATGCTTCAACTGGACTTTTAGCCTGTCTATTTCAAGAATGTGTGACCTCAGAATGGAAACCAGGAGATGTTGGGAAAAAGGTTTCACTCTTGTTTCCAGAGGAGAAGAAATGCTATGGATACCATAAAAATTAATCAGATTTAGTTTGAAAAGAAGCCTCTTGATAAAGAGAAACGACAACTCATCCACAGAAGTGAAGATCCTACAGGTTATTATAGATATGATAGGATAAAAGAATATATTATTAAATCTACTCTGAAAAGAAGTGAGGATATAGATATGATAAAATAAAAAAGTAGATTACTGAATCTACTTAGCAACTATTAGTTTTAAATGTTTTACATTAGACTGAGCTTTTGTACATTATATACAAATTTTGTATATTGATACAAATTTGAGATTTATTTTGTTAAAACATACTGTACATACATTTCTAATCTTGTTCAAGGTATTGTACCCATACAGCTCAATTAACAATTGAGTCTATGAAAATTATTATTACCAACTGTTTAGGATAATAAGGAAATATAGGTTAGTAGTTTATGACCTAGTATAATCAAACTTGTAGTCACAGTAGGTATGTTTTCAAGGTCAAACAAAGATGTAGATAGACAGGTCATCTTCAAACACTTCAAAGATCTATAGAATATGGCATTTAAGATGTTTTAATAGCCTAGGTTCTTCTTTTTTTTTTTTATGACAATGAGACATGTCTGCTCCTGGCAGCACCAATCTACTTTAGAGAAGATAATGGGCATTAAAGAAACTCCACATGGAATTTACTTTCTTTGTGGCAAAGTCACTGGGCAAGAAAATGCCCTTGCCTTAACTTCTGATAGTTTGCAGTCATAATTGAACAGGAAGAACACACAAAAGAAAGTGACTGCCAACGTCATCAAGACAAAGTGGGATAGCCCTTCAGAATATCCTGCTTCATAGAAAATTCTGTTGGATATGCTAGGCCTGTAGGCAGAGGATGGATGCCCTGACATTGCAGCCAGCTGTTTCTGTCATTACTCACAGGTTTTGGAAGTCACTTGCTTACCCAGTTAACATTATTTCCTTCTTGGGTCACTGAGGTAGTTGAAGTCTAGATAGTTTAGTTATAGTATCCCTAGTTTATGAGACCCAGAAAAGAAATTCACTAAAGAAATCTAAAGTATACAAGATTGAGAGATATCAA